GGAACCAAAGAATAATTAAGAAACGAATCGAACAATTCAAGAATTCAGTACCCAGAATAATAACCCTAGAAGAACGGAAACTTAGAGAAATTGAATCCTGGATACAATCTAGGATCAGTAACCCAAATAATATAACTTGCTTAACCCTAACGATATTAAGAAGTAAACTAAACAATCAGGACTTATATGACCAATTACCAGAAACAGATAAACCACTTGGAACCTGAACAAGAACTGGAATCAGAAAACTATAATATAACCTGTATCAAGAAATTGGAAGCAACAATCATATCTTATACTGAAGAACGACAAGAAATTAAAAACAGTCTATTATATAAAGAATTCAATAAACCAAAAAAGAATAAAGATCTTGAAGACTTTGACAAATATTTGATTGATTTAGGAGCAATAACACTTGCAGAACAAAAACCAGAGGACTTTGAACACAGATACTGGTTGAATAATACAAAAACAATTGCGAAGTGGATTGGAATTAACACCGTGTTATAACTTAAGAAATCTTAAAGCAATTTAGTTAACCCCGGAGAAAACTGAAGACGTTAAAAAGGAAATAGACCAAAAACTCCAAGAAATAAAACAAAAATACTATCCAGAACAATTGGAAAGATTATACCAATCAAACCAGCGAAGAAGCTATTATTAAATGATCAAGACAGAAATAACTAAAAGTAAACTTGGAATATTAATTGACAAAGTAATTAAAGAACTAGAAGAAGACCAAAATTTGATTAACGAAGAAAAGAAAGAAACAATATTAAAAGAAATAAAGAACGAAGAATCGGAAGAACCAACATTCAAAGAGGAACAGAAAAGAATAATAAGATATTTGAGTAGAATACTATTTAAAGAACAAAACAAGATTGAAAACTATCATCAGAAAATTGATACTATAAGTTGGTTAAGAAAACAACTCTACAAGGATGCACTACATCACTGTATAAACTGCAACACAGGTTGGAGATATGGGGAATATAACTCACACAACTGTGATTACGATAACAAACCAGGAAAAGAACTCAGAAGTTTTTACAAAATAGCAATCCGGGAATTTGAAAAACTAATAGAAGAAAGACCTTTTATAATCACACCAAACAGAATGAAGGAATTATTAGAAAAAATAAATCAACAAGTTTTCAAACCAACAAAATTAGATCCAACATATACCGAAGAAAGAAAAAGGATTACTGAAGAAATAACTGAATTAACAATAACAAAACTTATAACCCTAAAAAACGAAATTGAAGAAAAGCTAAAATGAATCCGAATGAATCAAATGGATGGACCCAGCAAGGACCAAACTACTGCAAATGGTGCGACGAGCATGTTGAAGAGCCCGAAAAACATAACTGTAAAATCATAAAAGACCAAGAATTTCAGAAAATCTCGAAAGAAGAATTTGATAGACCAATCGTCGAAAGAATATCAAAAGCATTTGCCGAGTATACTAAAGAAGGATTCGACAAGGAACGAGAAGAAATCCTAAAAAGACAAAGTACACGGGAATTCACGTGCAGGATCTGCCACAAAAAAGGACACACAAATAGATATTGTCCAAATTAGGAATGTTTCTTATGCAATAAAAAAGGCCACCAATCGAGAGATTGCCCAAACAAAATCAGACCAAACCAATTAGCAATAATCCGAGAAGATCGTATAGTGATCCGAACAACCAAAATTGGAACAATGAACAAGGACCATCCAGAAGAATATTCACCTGTAAATTCTGTAGGGAAAACCACAGAAATGAAAACTGTAGAGTATACAGAATATTGAAAGAGAATGGAAGCTTATTATGTGGCTGCGACGCAGAAAAAATCCTGTTAAAACGACAACAACACACAGAATGGGCTGCATATTCAAAAAACCGAGACCATCATCACTGCTGTAACTGCAGCAAACCAACAGTATCCATAAACCTATACCACATACAAGGACTCTACAAATCACCCAGAACTTTCGAACCAGTATTCCTACCAGATCAAATGATGTGCAATGGATGCTATAGAGAATACCTTGAAGAACTCGATATTAGAGACGAGCGAGCACAGAAATACTATCAAACCCTAGGACAGGGAAGACTTGTGAACTGTTACTTATGTGGAAAACAGAACCTTAAAAGAAAAATGGAAGATTGGCAAGCACGCTTCTTCTGCAGCAAGGAAGAGAAATTCACAAATCTTATTTATTTACTAGAAGAACAAATCACAGATGACCAAGAAATTATGAAGAAAATTCATACATATACCAGAAATCAGACAAATATATATTATAATATAAATGAATCGAAAATTAGGAGAATCTATAAATATATAACTAGAACAGATCAATGGGATCACAACAATCCGAACTTCAGAACTACCATCAATGAACAAGCGGATGATATCATGAACTACAACCGATATTATCAAGGAAGTGACTGAAGAATCCGATAGTTACGATAGCGACTTTGAGGAACTGGCCATGAGATTGAAAAACTCAATGACCATTAATACAAAAGAAAAGGAAAAACTAGAAGACTATGAGGAACAAATGCAGATACAAGCTTGGAACCTCTGCAAAGAGTGTCTAATGCCAATATCGGAAGTACACACTGAGAATAGAGACTACCGAAATGAATATTGTTTAGAATATCTTACAGAAATTGAGGGAAGGACTGTCAATTTCGACGAAGAACCTGAACAAAACGAACAAATGGAAACAGAAGAACAAGTTGAACAAGAAAGGGAATTAAACAATATCAGAAGAGAATTGGAAATAGAAAAACAAATTAAAGAACAGGCCACGATGACTTCTAAAGAAAAATTACAGAACAAGATAAAATGGCATTGAGAAACTGAGAACAGATACAAAAGCGATGAATTCAGATACAAAGCACAGAACATTGAAGAATTAGATGAATACATCGAAGAAATCACAAGAGACCGATACCGGGAAGATATATCCCAGAATGCTATGGATCTGAAGAAATTGACCTTAGTAACCCTGAACTTACAAGAAAAAAATGAAGGAGAACAAGAAGAAATGAAACAGAGACTGTCGGTACTCGCAAAAACGACCTCGCAAATTGAAACTCTTGAAACAGAAATAAAGAACCTCAAAAATGAGAACTACGTACTCAAAAGAAGAATTGAGCACCTGGAAGAAGGTGCCAGAAAAATTGTTAAGTATAACACAGGCACGTCAAC